CTCCCGCTACACCACAGTGTTCCCTCTGGCGAAGAAGTCTGAGGTGACTTCTACGCTGATCAGGTGGTTGCTCACCACCGAGGACACTCGTGGTCGTCGTGTCAGCTGTCTCCACTCCGACCGTGGGGGTGAGTTTCGCTCCGGCATTCTCGCTGGATTCTGTCGCGAGCAGGGCATTCGTCAGTCCTGGACGCTTCCAGAGTCCCCACAGCAGAATGGGGTTGCTGAGCGCCGCATAGGCCTGGTCATGGAGATCGCCCGCACCTCCCTGACTCACGCCTGTGCCCCCCATTTTCTGTGGCCCTACGCGGTCAGGTACGCCGCGCACCAGCTGAACCTCTGGCCACGTGTCTCTCGACCAGAGGTTTCACCGACCAGTCTTTGGACAGGGTTCCCTGGTGTTGCGTCGCGGTTTCGTGTCTGGGGGTGCTTGGCTCTTGTCCGCGACACCTCCGCGGACAAGCTCTCGCCTCGTGCCGTCCCCTGTGTCTTCCTTGGTTTCCCTGAGGACTCCTCTGACTTCACCTTTTACCACCCTCCCTCTCACCGGTTCTTTGACTCCCGTGACGTCCGTTTCGAGGAGTCCACTCCGTACTACGTCAGGTACCCCAGTCGAGGTCTCCCGGTTCCTCCTCCCCCCCTCTTCCTGACTGCCGTTCCCCCTCCTGCTCCCCCGGTACAGCCTCCCCCCCCTGGTCCAGCCCCGTCAGGTGTGTCCCAGGCTACCCCTCCTCCTTCGGTAGCCCCTCCGGTACAGCCTCCCTCCCCACAGTCCTCCTCGCAGCGTGCCGCTGGTGCTAGCTCTCGAGAGGTTGGTGCGACGCCTGTTCCTGTACCGGTTTCTGGTTCTGGGGGTGCTGGAGTTAGAGCTGGAGTTGGAGCTGGAGTTGGAGCTGGAGTTGGCACTGGAGTTTCTGGTTCTGGGGGTGCTGGAGTTGGAGCTGGGGTTGGAGCTGGAGTTTCTGGTTCTGGAGTTGGAGCTGACCAGGTGGGTGCAGAGGACGCTTGTCGTCCGGGAGCTGGTGCTGGCCGCGCGGACACTGGGGGTGCTGCGTCTGGGGGTGAGGGTGCGCCTCCTTTGGGTTCAGGTGAGCCTGGGTCTGGAGCTGGTGTTAGTGCTGCCTCTGGGGGTGGTGAGCCTAGTTCTTCTGGAGTGGACTCTGGAGCTGCCGCTGCTTCGGACACTACTCCGCCCCCCCCACCCCTACCCGACTAGGCACCAGGCTCGTGTTCGCCGTGCCCGTGACGATCAGCTGGCGTTGGAGAGAGAGGAGAGGGAGTTACAGCGGCTGGAGGAGCAGCAGCAGCAGCTGGACCCGCAGGAGCAGCAGTCCCAGCAGCAGCCGCGTCCGCAGCAGCAGCAGCAGTCGCAGCCGCAGCAGCAGCAGCCACTTCCTCCTCCTGTCTCGGGTCTTCGGATCCTTGGTCTCCCCTCCCCTTCTCCTCCCTCCTCCGCCTCTCCTCCTGTCTACGGTCCCACGTTTCCTCCTCCTGACTCCTCCCCCGCTGTTTTCCCCAGTTCTCCGCCCTTGTCCTCTTCTCCTCCGTCTCGTTCTTGGGCTACTCGTCGCTCCCCTCGTGCTCGTCCCTCGTCTCCTGTTCCCTTCACTGACCTTCGTACTGCCTTCCTTCTTTCTAGTCCACCTCGTCCGTCTCAGTCTGTGCTTCCGTCTCCTCCTGAGTCGGCCCTCACTGTGTCGCTCCCTACTCCTGTCACTGACTACTACCGCACGTACCGTCCTGTTCTCTCTCGTGTTCTCGCCTCTCTTGTTACTCACCCTCGTGCCTCTGTGTCCTCTGTGTCCGCTCTTACTGCCGCAGTTACTGACTTTGCCTCTACCCGCCGCCTTGACTACGCCACCACGCTTGTGGCTGCTCCTCCTACCAGTCCTCTGGCCGTCGGGGGTGTGTCTGCCCTTGGCCGTGACGCCCTAGAGGACAGGCAGTTTGAGCTAGAGTTCCTGGCGGCCGCTTCCCCTCATCTCTGTGCCATGCTCCTCGCCCCTGAGGGTGACCCCGACGCCCTTGACATTCCGACTCCTCGCACTTACGCTGAGGCAGTGTCAGGGCCTTGGGCCTCTCAGTGGAGAGCTGCCATGGACGCAGAGATGGCCTCCTACAGATCCACAGGCACCTACGTCGATGAGGTTCCCCCCCCGGGGGCGAACGTAGTCGACGGCATGTGGATCTACAGGGTGAAGCGGCCACCGGGATCTCCCCCGGTCTTCAAGGCGCGCTACGTGGCTAGAGGTTTCAGTCAGCGCGAGGGAGTTGACTTCTTTCAGACCTTCGCACCTACCCCGAAGATGACCACTCTTCGGGTGTTACTACACGTAGCAGCACAGAGAGACTACGAGTTACACTCTCTTGACTTCTCCACTGCTTTCCTTCAGGGCAGCCTACACGAGGAGGTCTGGTTGCGTCGTCCCTCGGCCTTCACTGGCACCTTCCCTCCTGGGACCCAGTGGAGGCTGAGGCGACCTGTTTACGGTCTTCGCCAGGCCCCTCGTGAGTGGCACGACACTCTGCGTTCTACCCTCTCTGACCTTGGGTTCCAGCCGTCTTCTGCCGACCCGTCGCTGTTCGTTCGTCGTGGCTCCACACCGTTCTTTGTTCTGGTTTACGTCGACGACCTCGTTTTCGCCACTCCGGACAGGGTTGCTTTGGCAGACGTGAAGTCCGAACTGCAGAAGAGACACACGTGCACTGATCTTGGTGAACTGCGCCACTACCTTGGCCTGCAGATCACCAGGGACAGAGCCGCTCGCACCATTACACTCTCACAGTCACACATGGTGCAGCAGGTCCTTCAGCGGTTCGGGCTTCAGCACTCCACCGTACAGCGCACACCTCTAGCTGTTGACCACAGACTCACTGGTCCCTTTCCTGACGAGCCGTTTGAGCCTAGTGGTCCCTACGCAGAGCTTGTGGGTTGCCTCATGTACCTGATGACTTGTACTCGCCCGGACCTCGCCTTCCCTCTCAGCATCCTTGCGCGCTTTGTTGCGCCAGGGAGACACCGTCCTGTTCACTGGACGGCAGCTGTGAGGGTGGCGAAGTACCTAGCGACTACATCAGGCGTGGGGCTAGTTCTTGGAGGGCAGCAGTCTGTCGTACTCACTGGTCACTGTGACTCCTCTTACGCTGACGACGCTGAGACTCACAGGTCTACTCAGGGGTACTGTTTCAGTCTGGGTTCTGGAGCTGTTTCCTGGCGTTCCACGCGCTCCTCTTCTGTCTCGACCTCTACAGCTGAGGCTGAGATTTACGCTGGTGCCATGGCGGCACAGGAGTTGCGGTGGTTGACCTTCTTGCTCACTGACCTTGGTGAGCGGCCGAGCTCTGCACCGACCTTGTTTACTGACAACAAGGCGTCGATCCTCCTCTGTCGTGAGCCGCGACTGGAGAGCAGAGTGAAGCACATTCACATCAGGTACTTTCTTCTGCGAGAGTTGCAGAGGCGTGGACAGGCTCGCTTCGAGTTCGTAGAGTCCGAGGCCAACACTGCAGACATCTTCACCAAGGCGCTTCCGCCTTGTGACCACCAGAGGTGTTGTGTGCAGTTAGGCCTTGTTGACACAGGTTCTAGTCATGCGTAGACTTGAGTTTATTGCCTGCTTCGTCTGTACATTTACTATATATACTTGTGATCTCTTGGACTGGCCTTGTGGCCACTGTTGCTTGTGCTCAGAGTGTGTGGTGACGTTGTGATCCACCCTGAGCTTTGTTTTCTTTTGGACTGGTCTTGTGACCGTACTCTTTTTGTTTTTGCTAGACACCCCTCACTTAGGCTATGGGGGTGTGTCAAATGTTGTAGCCTGTAGTGAGGTTTGTCTTAGGGGGTACAGAAGTTAGGGTTTGTCATATGTACCCCAACCAACATCAATGCAACACTCATTCCTCATTCTGACACAACTGTATTGAACCGTCTTGAGCCACGAACATTGACGGTAAGACTACAACATGAATTTGCCCTTCACGTACAGAACTCAAAGCTAGTGTCAACACTCCATGAAGAAAAGGGAACAAAATATGCTCATATTTAGAATGTTCCACTGTACTGCACCAAGTCAATTGAAAAGAATTTGCTGCGAAAGCGAGATTGAGGCAAAATTCCGGTTGCGAAGACAGCAAGGGTTTCGTTACTGTTACCTTCGAACTCAAACCTCTGGTTTGTCACGCAGCGCACGCTTTTTGGGCGGGAACCAGCAATTTGTGAGCCGAACCTCGAAAATGAGCTCGAGCCTAGAATCTAGGTTGGGGAAAGTGGTCTGACTGACGGCTTGTCACAGTGTGGCCGTTGGTGTTGAATTCCCGCTCGTGGATCTCTGAGTCTCTGACCCAGCGAGACGCCTGGCCCGGCATTGATCGGTGCGGCACTGGCTCGCCGATTTTGTCGGCCATCAAATCCCCACCATGCGCGCTCCCCCGATGTGCCATGCCTTACGAGAATCAACGGCCCAGATTGAGACTTCTACATAATCCATTACACAGCTGTGGTCTGGTGAGGACAGAACAGAACGTCAGGCAAATTCTCGGAGCGCAACATCACCCTCATCTGCAGCAGGAACGCCTGAGGGAGCACCCTGACCCCAACTCACCCGCATTTCGCACATTTCTGACCTCATCCTCCCGCAATTCCTCGCTTCGCCTCGCCTCACCTCCCCTCGCCTCGCCCCGACTTGGCCCAAACCCCATTCGTTCCCCGTCTTCTGTTGTTGTGCCTGTTGTTTCCGCCTGACTCGTAACACAGGCAAGCTTGAGACCTTTGAGCTGAGTTGAATTTCAGGTTCACTAGGCCAGGTTGCTTTGGTCGCAGTATTCGCTAGTTAGTGTCGTCGGGTGCGATAATTTCTCCTTACTGGCATAGACACGGTGACATATTTCAATTTATAGCTATTTATTACTCTTAACAGTGACCGGGCTTGAAGTTGTCCAGCCCACCCAGCGGCCGTCCTAAGCAAGCATTCCTAGCGGCAGTGGCCGCAGGGAAAAAAGCCATGCCTCCGAGTAACTACAGAAGGCCAAACGCCGCGCCAGTCTCCCCACACGAACATCACGATCCCGCAGCATCGCCACCCAGTGCCTCCGCCGTGCTCATGGCAACAGACGCAGACGTCGCCGCCGCGTCCCCCTACGGGGATGACCCGCAGAAGGCAGCGGCAGCAGCCATGGCCATGACCTCTCCGTGCCCACTCCTCCCTGGCGCGAAGGCAGCGGCAGCCGCCACGCCGTCAGTCTTCTGCTTTCACTCCATCTGCTACTCCGTGAATCTAGGCCGGAAGAAGTCGCTTATCCGCCGCTGCATCGAGCCGTGCGTCGGGCTCGCCGCGAAGCGCAAGTCCACGCAATTCACCTCCATCAGCGATGACGAGGCGAAGGCCTCCGCGCCGCCCAAGATCCGCGTCATCCTGAACGAAATTTCCGGATTTGCTCGGTCGGGAGAGGTTCTAGCGATCATGGGGTCGAGCGGGTGTGGAAAGACGACGCTATTGGACGTTTTGTCGCACCGGATCGCTTCTGCGGCTGCTTCGGCGGGGCCGCTGGCAGGGGGCCGGACGGGGTACATTGAGTTGGGCGACAAGCCGACGACGGACGACCTTATGCGACGCATTTCGGCATACGTGATGCAGGACGACCTCATGTACGCGACGCTGACGGCGCGCGAGACGCTCATGTTCTCGGCGGAGATGAACCTGCCGCGAAGTTTCTCGTACAAGGAGAAGCAGGAGCGCGTGGAGCGGCTGCTGGAGCTGCTTAGCCTGCAGCACGCGGCGAACACACTCATCGGGAACGAGAACCTCAGGTACGACTTGGAAGGGCGGACGGTGGGAGAACAGGACAGAGTTCTGGGGATTGACGGTGATTAATTGCATGGGTAGCTCCGCGCAGGGCTGGGCCGCTAGGCTGCGTGTCCGTGTGCGTCAATTCGCAGAACTTTGGCCGCGTGTCAGATGGCTGAAGCAAGGCGGTGGACGCGCGTGAGAATGAGAGAGAGGGGGAGACAGAATCCGTTAAACTGCGTTCTCGTCATTGTCCTTGTAGTTGGGGGCGTCAAGCGTTCTCTGTTGCCTCGTGTTGAAGCGAGAGTGCGGCGGGTGGGAAGGCCTCTGCTGTAGCTGTGAGCAGATCTCACTCGCTGACCGCTCGCTGCGCATCGCATTCGCGACTCCTCTTTTGATGCCTCATCTCTTCTCCGCAAACCCTGCCCGCTCGTGGCTCCACCCGTCCGTCCTTCTCCCCTCCGTTCTCCCCCTGTCTCTTTGTCTCCCATCTCATCATCCTCCCCCTCCTCCCCCCGTTCCCATCTTCTTCCTCACTCCAACCCCCCTTCCCCTTGCTCCCCCTCCACTCCCGCAGAGGCGTGTCCGGCGGCGAGCGCAAGCGCGTGGCGATCGGCGCGCACATCGTGCACGACCCGAAGATCCTCTTTCTGGACGAGCCGACCTCGGGATTGGATTCCTCCAACGCGTACCGCGTGGTGAAGATTCTCAAGGACATCGCGCTCACATCGGAGAGCATCGTGATCATGGTGATTCACCAGCCGTCGTTCCGCGTGCTGGAGCAGATCGACCAGCTGCTCATGCTCTCCACGGGCAACATGATCTTCTTTGGCCCGCCGCCGCACCTCCCGGCGTTCTTCGACGCGTTCGGGACTCCTGTGCCGAAGTTCGCGAACCCGACGGAATTCGCGCTGGAGCTGCTGGAGCAGCTGAAGAGCACGTCGGAGGCGGCGCTCATGGAGCTCGTCGCGTTCGCCGCCGACTGGCATCGCAGCCGCGACCACATGGCGCACGCCAAGACCGGCCGACACGCCAAGCCCGCGCTGCTCGCCGCGCCCGGCGGCGGCGGCGACGGCGAGGAGACTGATAGCGGCGGCGGAGGCGGTGCGGGTGCGCATGGGAGGAAGGGCGCGGACGGCAAGAAGAAGTTCTGCGGGCTGGCGGGAAAGCTGGGGAAGAAGGGGGGGAAGAAGGGGGAGGAGGATGAGGAGGAGGAGGTGGTGGAGTCGGGGCACAAGGGGACGCACCGGTATGCCAACTCGTGGTTCCGCGAGTTCTACATTCTGTTCGTGCGGTCAGGGCTGATGATTATCCGCAACCCGCTGCTCTACTTCCTGCGCCTCATGCTGCTCACCGTCGCTGGATTTCTCCTCGCCTCGCTCTTCTACAAGCCCAGTCATGAGTACGCGCCTTCTCTCCCCCTCCGCTCCCCGCTCATCGCCTTCTTTCCCTGCTTACCGCTCCATTCCCCCCGCCTATTCTCCCTTCCCCTCTCACCTTTCTTCCTCCTCGCCACCCCCACGTATCCACCTCCCCCTCAGTGCAAACCTCGTGTTTGTTTTTTTCACTAATTGCCCGTCTCGGCTTCGCGTCGCGCATCCTGCTGCGCTTGGCTCGGCCCTCCGCTGCGTTTTCCCTCCTTTCCTGGCGCTCAACTCCGCCCCTTCCCCCCCACCCCCCCGCCCCTTACAATTCCTGCGCGCGCGCGCAGTCCGCAGGGCATGTTGGAGCGGCTGGCGTACCTGTCGTTCATCGTCGCCATGCTCTTCTTCTGCTCCGCTGACGCCACGCCCATCTTCATCATGGTACGCGCGTGTGTGCGTGTGGGTGTGCGTGTTCGTGTGTGGGTGTGAGTGAGTGGGAGAAATGACTGACAACATGCCAGTGTCTCTCCATGCTTCCGGCTTGTACTGCGGTCAATGCTAAACTGCGCATTGCAATTCAGCACGCTCTTTCTCCTCAAGCCTCCTTCCCCGCGTCTCATTCCCCTCATTCTCCTCCTCCCGTCTCATCCTTCCTCCCGCCTAACCCTGCACCCCCGAACCTCCCCGCTCCCCCTTTCCCTCCCCCTCCCTCCCCCGCCGCCGCGCGCAGGAGCGCAACATATTCATCCGCGAGACGTCGCACAACACGTACCGCGCGTCGACGTACGTGGCGGCGACGATGGCGGTGTACATTCCGCTGCAGGCGCTCATGGCCATGACGCTCACGCTCGAGTCCTGGTGGACCGTCGGGTTGTCGGGCGGCTTCCCGGGCGCGCTGTTTTTCGCCACCATCTGCTTCCTCTGTCTCTTTACGGGCAACGCCATCGCCACCTTCGCCAGTTCGTTCTTTAAGAAGTGAGTAGTGCGCGGGTGCATGCATAAGCGCGGGTTACGCGTGCGCGCGCGGGAGCGTTCCGTGTGATTGTGCGATTCGCCGCGTGTCGCATCGTGGCGTTGCGCGTGCGCGCGCTGTAATCCTCCCGCAGCGAGCGAGCGAGGCGACCCGGCTGTCGTGCAAGACACCTCCCACGCTTGCTTCTCTCACTACCCCTATTCCTCTCCACACCTCGCTCTCTCCGCTCCTCCCCCCTTCGCGCTCCCCCCCCCCCTCCCCCCCCCCCCCCTTCCCCCTTCCGCAGCATGATCCTGGCGTACGCGACGGTGATATCGACGATGGCGTATTTCACGCTGGTGTCGGGGTTCTACATCCACCGCACGTCCATCCCCAAGTTCTGGATCTGGCTGCACTACATCTCGCCCATGAAATACGCCTTCGAGGCGCTCGTGCAGAACGAGTTCGTCAGGTGCGTTGCGTTGATGTGTGCGTGGATGATGGGAGGGGGGAAGGGTGGATGTGTGGGTGCGTGGTTGCGTGCGTGCGTGTGTGTGTGTGTTTGCGCGCAGGAAATGGCTATTGCGCTACTTGCTGCCCCTGCGCTCCATTCCTTACCTACCTCAGCACATCATCCCTTACTTTGAAGCTCCGCTTCCTGTGTCGCCCTTGCCTTCCGTCTCCTCTCCATGCCTCTCTCCTCAAATCAACAACCGCACCAACCCCCTCCTTTCTCCACCCCCCGTGCCACCTGTTCCTCCACCCCACAGGGACACGGGTCCGTGCAACCTGACGCTGAACGGGGCGTTTGACATTGAGCCCATCAGCACGCCCTCCCCTCCCAACCATCCCCTTCCCCAACTCTCTCTCTTCCCCTACCTCCCTCACCCCACCGCCACCCCACAGGGATTCGGGGCCGTGCTACCTGACGCTGAACGGGGCGTTTGACATCCAGCCCATCAGCACGTACGTGAACACGACGCGGCTGAAGCCGGCGCTCATGTCGTTCCTGCCCAACGTGGTGACGCCGGGTGTGGGCCCGCTCACGTCGCAGTCGTGCATCATGACGGGCACGTTTATTAGCCGCAAGTACCTGGATATTGTGGAGCTGACCAAGTACCAGAGCATGGCTGTGCTGTTCTCCATGGCGATTTCGGTGAGGATTGGGTACTTTTTGGTGCTCACTCTGATTTACAAGGCGAAAAGGAAGTAGAGGGGGAGGGAGAGGGGGAGGGGAGAGGGAGAGGGGGAGGGAGAGGGGGAGGGGAGAGGGAGAGGGAGAGGGGGAGGGAGAGGGGGAGGGGGAGAGGGGGAGGGAGAGAGGGGGAGGGAGAGGGTGGAAAGGAAGAGAGGGCAGAGATTGGGCACTTACACTATGCATGTTCAACCACACACTCACACACGATGGAGTAGACACCCAGAATGTGTCTGCTTGACTCAAGGGCAGGTACTAAAACTGTGGTGGCCTGCAGTATGTGCAGCAGGCATCTGTTAGCCCAGCCATTTCTGTATGGCTGCTGTGTGCAACTCACAGGCAAGTGAGCTAGGTGGATGATAAATATAGCAGTGATGCGTTGTGAATGGCTTTAGGGATTGCTAAGCTCGGCAGGGTAGTGATGATGACTGCTAGAACGCTGCTGAAATTGTAGATTCTTTCATGATCATAGTATTTGACTGAAATGTATGTGATTGATCGTTGTGCATCGTAAGCTATACTGGAACTATAAAGAATTTAAATTCATAACTGTCGTTAGCCCTTAGCGAGGACATCCCGAGCACTTCGCATCAGTGGGGTTCGGCCTAGCCTTCGCCTCGAACCAGCCCGAGTCGCTCCCGCACCAATTGCGACACTCCCAAACCTCGCTCGCCTCGCCAGGTTTCGCCCTGTAAATGTGTCCTTTTTGTTTTCTCGCCTTCCGTAATCACAGTCTCTTTATAGATCATTCCGCGCGCTCTGACATACTGGTAGGCGAAATCCATTTCCTCCATATTTGTCGAGATTTTTCGCACACGCATGTCCGCCTCAAGCAGCAAGCCACCCACCCATCACAACCGCAGCTCTTGCAACAGCACCATGCGCCAACAAACTTAGTTGCGTCCTCGCTTGTTGCGTCTCTGGTCGGTGTCATTCCACATTTTACTAGTCCCAGCATACTTAGTTGAATTACTTGCGACGATGAAGAGTGCGCGCGGTCGCGAGAGCTCTCGCCTGCTGTCGCTCCCCGACGAACTGCTCCTGTCCGTTCTCGCGCGCGTCCACCACCCGCGCGATCGCTGCAGCCTTGCCCTCTCCTGCTCTCACCTCCGCCGCCTCTCCCGCCGCACGCCCCACTCCCTCCGCCTCCACTTCTTCGCGAAAAAACAAGGCGCCACCGCCCGGGAATGGGTGAAGAACCTGGACATTTATTCCGGGGTATTTACCTATAATCGACCTCACGGTGGAGGTTAGCTGCGCCACCATTTACCAGCTGCTGGGGGGAATCGGCGCGGGCTGCCCGAAACTGGAAACGCTGAAGCTCGTGTCGGTGCGCGACCCGCGGTTTCAGATCAACGCCGCGGCTTGGAGGAAGCTCGCGCGGCAGTGCCCGTGAGTGTGATTTGGTTCTCTTGTTGCGACGGCGCCCCTACAAAAACGTTGCTTCCCCCCCTCTCGTTTATTCTCTAACAGCTACGACCGTTCTACCTAGTAGATTGCTTCTCTCCGCAAACCGCGCCTCGTCTCCTTCATCCTTATGATTTTAGAAACCTTTCGGTTCTCTATCATTTACCATGGCACGGAATCGCGCGGTTCAGTTTATTCTTGCGAACGGGGTTCACAATTTTGCTGTTATATCCTCATGGCTGTGTTCCGCCCTGATAGCTCTCTTGCCAAGAAGGAATGGAACCCCATCCGCAGCAAGCCTTCTAGCATCCATCTCCCGTCATTTCTTTGCACTCATGTGCGCCCGCCTTACCCACATCGTCGCGCCTCCCGTCACCATTTCACTTTCACATGGCCATTTCCAAACAGGCAAGTTCCTTCCAAGGGGGCAAGTTCCTTCCAAGGGGGCAAGTTCCTTCCACGGGGGCAAGTTCCTTCCAAGGGGGCAAGTTCCTTTCACTATCTTCAGCCACTTCCCTCTACAACGCACCGTCCCTTCAATCCTCTGTTCTCAAACCTCCCCCCCTCCCCTTCCCTCCGCACCCCCCTCCCCCTTCGTTTCCCCTTTCCCGCCACCTCCCGCGCGTCCGCTCCCCCTCTCCCCAACTTTTCAGCCGCATAACGTCACTCGAGCTCGACTCCCCACTCGACCGACGGTTTATCGAGCTCAACAAAACGCCGCCTCCCCCAGTAGACGCTTTCCCTTCACTGCGCTCACTCACCCTCCTCTACCAGCCCTCGCACTACCGCTTCATCGCCCGCTGCTCCTCCCTCACCTCCCTCACCCTCTGGCGACCCAACGCCTTCGTCCTCTTCTCCCTCGCCTCCGCCTCCTCCCCTCTCCACCTCTCCCTCTCCTCCCTCACCATCCACTCCGCTTTGCTCGATGCCGCACTCACACCTCTCACCGCCTTCCCGCACCTCACCTCTCTCGCCTTCCACTCCTGCAGCATCGATCCTTGTGAGCTGCACGCGCTCTCTCGCTCCTTCCACACGCTCACCCACCTGGCTCTCCACGACTGTCCCTTGGTCTCCAGTCATTCCCTCGCCGCCTTGACTGACACCAACCCGGCTCTCTCCTCCCTCTCCCTCCACTCCACCTCCTACCCTCTCTTCGCCGCCCAAGGCCTCCGCCAAGTGCTCCGCGCGTCCCCCTCCCGCCTGCACACGCTCACTCTCTCCGGGCTGCCCGCGTTCCGCCCCGGCACGCTTGCACGCTGCAGCGGTCTGAAGCGTCTCACGCTGAGAGGGAGGGGGGAGGCGAAGGAGAGTGTATCGCCGTCTGAGTCGCCGCAGGAGCCGTCTTTGGAGGGCCTTGTGGCCTTGCTGGTGCACGTGGAAGAAAGGGGAGACGGTGGAGGAGGAGTGGAGCAGCGGGGGTGCTTCGAAGGAACAAAGGGAGGGGTCGATGCAGTGGAGAGACGGGAAGGGAAGAAGCGCGGGGAAGGAGGAACACCTGCGTCCGGTTCAGCAGCAGCAACAGCAGCAGAAACAACAGAAGAAGCAACAGCAGCAGCAGGAGCTGCAGCAGAAAGCACAGCAGAAGCAGCCACGCCAGTACCGACCCACGCTGGGACGAGGGGCAATAGGGACCGACGGTACTACCAGGATATCCGCACAGAAGCAGCAGCAGCGTGTGCTGACACGGCCGCAGTAATTGACGATTCAAGGGCCCTGCTGCAGACGACCGCCAGGCAGAAGCTCCTGAAAGCGATTTCGGAAGCGCGGCAGACTCCGCGCATGCACGGGGAATCCGCCCTCGTGAATATCCGCCGCGCGGTGATTCTGGTGCGAGCGGCCATGTCGTTCTGCCGGTGCGTGCGGCTGGCTGTGGTCCACGTGGACGGCCGCATGGCACGCGAGGCAGCGCTGAAAAACGCCGGTTCTGCTGCCGAGTCTGCAGGGTTCTTCACCTCAGCAGCGGATTATGAGACAGAGGAGCGCGAACGGGAGAGGCAGGGGCGGGAGGGAGGAGGAGGAGGGAGGGAGGTGGAGGAGCTGGTGGGATTCGTCCCTGAGAGTGACCTGCCGGCTGATCTGGTGGAAATAAGCGAGACGCTGCTGGGGGAGCAGACGGCGTTTGTGGCGGTGTCGAGAGAAGATGCGCGCAGGCTGCTGCATGTGCTGAGGGACCAGCTGGATGCGCACATGGAGTCGTTCATCGATGCCTTTGAGGGCGCGACGCCCATAGCAGTGATTTGGGGGGCTGCTGCACCTGGGGCGCCCATCGCAGTGCCGCCACCAGTGCCTGGGGCAGCGGCCCCAGTGGCAGCGGCAGCGGCACATGGGGCAGCAGGGGCAGCAGCACATGTGGCGGTGGTAGATGGAGCGGCAGCACATCGGGCGGCAGCAGATGGGGCGGCAGCAGATGGGGCGGCAGCAGATGGGGTGGCAGCAGATGGGGCGGCAGCAGATGGGGCGGCAGCAGATGGGGTGGCCGCAGAAGGGGCAGCAGCGCAGGAGCTAACAAGCGCAGAAGCAGCAGGAGGGCCAGTGGGAGATGGTGCGAGCACCGAAGGAGCAGCGCAGCAGCTTCAAGAGGCAGAGTCGGGAGGAGGACAACACACAGCTGACGAGCAGACGAGAGAAGACAAGCAGCTGGGCAGCAGAAGCCCAACGCACACACCCTTGAAGGGGCGCACAACACCAAACAAGAGCATGTGCATACCCTCCAAAAGAGCACACCTCGAAATAAAAGCACACCTCCAAATAAGAGCGCACTTGCAATTCCTGTGGAAGTGTTTTGCCCGCCGTTGGAATCCCTACCCCTCGAGAGCATTCAGTCCGCCACCGATTATGACCCTTCCTGGCTGCCTGCTCCCCTCCCCTCTGCCTCGCCTCTCATGTGCCCCTTGCTCCCCACCACACCCCTCCCTCCCCTTCATTCATCCTCCTCCCTGTATCCTGTCCCAAGAGGTCTGAGTAGCGAGAAACAGACCTTCGAATCCCTGGCACGAGCTGCTGTGTTTGGAAGGCTCAAGAGCTTTGCGCTCTTGAACTGCCGTGGGCTGGGGGAGGGGCAGCTGGTGAGGCTGCTCCGTGCATGTGGCATGCTGGAGGATCTAAGGGTGGAAGGCAGTGATGCGTTCTAAGATACGGTGATAGCAGTGGTGCACATACTGGAGGTGCGGTGTGGGTTGACTGCGGTGGGGTGTGGTGGAGTCACTGCAGGCGGCGTTGGTGGGCTGCTGGGGAACGTGCCAAGGCTGCGGTATTTGAAGGTGGAGGCGAGTAAGGTTCCTGGTAGGGCTCGCCGGGAGTTGCTTCGTGCTGGAATGGTTGTTAGGGGAGTGTGAGAATGAAGGAATATTGGTGGGAAAAGTTAGACGTCTTTCATGTCAAACTATATGTGCATACCGTTTATCTTGTTAGAGTAGGTTGCTCAGGTTGAGGGAACTCTGTAGTGAGTACAACATTGTTTACCTTGTTTGCCCTTGTGTTAAGTCAATCTCGAGTCCAATTTCTGATATGGTACGTTATCGGTTAGGGTAGGATCCGCACTTCCGCTCTAATCGCCCGCTCGCCCATTTAAGGATTTTCAGGACGTTGACATTCAGGACGCCGTTGAGAAACAAGTGCAGCCTAAGGTGCAAGGGTAGTCCAACGGGGCATTGAGGAATATGAGGACGGGGAGGGTGAGGTGTCGCATTTGGAACAACTGCTGCTGTATGTGCGTTTTATTTGCAAGTCCGATGCTCCTATTGCTTTGTTTGTTGGACTTGTCCATTTTCTTCACCAACTCAAGACGCCACACATCCCAGACAAGGCTATCGGTGCATACCGTATCACTCGGAGTGATTAGTGTATATGTTTTTATGATGGTACCGTATGGCCCCGGATATAAGCGCAGGCCTATGTTAAGCGCATGCGCTTATGGCCGATCCTCAATTATAAGCGCACCCCCTGTAAAACCTTGACTTATTATAAGCGCATCAATAATTCTACTTTTAAAACCTAATTAATACAGTAACGATTTCCCTTTTTGCAGCGAGTCCAGATCCGTTCCTACTTGTTTGACTCGCTCGAGGGCGAGCGATTCGCAGGAGAAGCGAAACGGCGTGAAGCTGACTGACTGACAGCACATCGTTGGGAGGGGGGGGAGGGAAGATGGGCGCTGGAAACGACTGTCCTGTGCGTTGTGCGAGCGAAAAAGGGGCAGGCGGGGGGGCTCGGGAACGACTGTGCCTCTGCGCTGCGATCAAGCGACTCCGTGCGACTGGCTCGTACATTGGTTCGGGGCGAGCTTGACACATCACTCTGCGTTGTGACGTGTCTTCGCCCCTGTGCGGCGGCTGAAACCGCCCTCGCGCGATGCTCTGATGTGGGACGCTGTAATGTTCTGATTCGATTGAAATTGCACGACAGAGATGTACAGTTTGGTAAATTCAAAACACATTTCTGTAATTGTCATTTTATAAGCGCATGCGCTTATAAATCTGACTCAATTATAAGCGCACCCCCCCAAAAACAATGTTTTATTATAAGCGCAGGTGCGCTTCTATCCGGGGTATTACGGTATCCTACTTTAAATTAACTGTAGTTTTAATACATGCAGATATGGATTTTGAGAGATCACGGAGGCGACGGTGAATCATCTGAAGGTGCGGCAGATGCAGTACCTCGTTGAATCCCCCTTTCTGGGGATCCTGTCAGAACATTATAGCTTATGCTTTTTGTGTAGGCTGTAGTGGGGTATCCTGTAGGGGGTACAACCCAATTAGGGTTAGTACTTGTACCCACTTCATTCATAGTTCATTCATTCTCGTTTGTATTTCCTCATGGTATTGAGCAGGTTCCCTCGTGGGAACTGTTCCAAGGGCCCACCAACCGATTTTTTTTTTTCCTGCCCGGGGCGCGTCTTGCCCCCTGCCCGAAGCGCGCCTAACCTAGCGGCGGCCCCTAGCAGCCCGTCGCCCATTCCGCAGGGGCCCGCCGTCGCCCTAAGGCGGCCCGTCGCCGCCCTTTCCGCAGCGGCCCGCCGCCGCCCGTTCTGCAGCGGCCCGTCGCCGCCCTAACCCGGCCCGCCGCCGCCCGTTCTGCAGCGGCCCGCCGCCGCCCTAAGCGGCCCGCCGCCGCCCTTTCCGCAGCGGCCCGCCGCCGCCCGTTCTGCAGCGGCCCGTCGCCGCCCTAACCCGGCCCGCCGTCGCCCGTTCTGCAGCGGCCCGTCGCCGCCCTAAACCGGCCCGCCGCCGCCCTTTCCGCAGCGGCCCGCCGCCGCCCTAAAGCGGCCCGTCGCTGCCCGCTCCCAAGCGGCTCGACGCCACCCCCACCGCAGCGGCCTGCCGCCGCCCTAAAGCGGCCCGTCGCCGCCCTATCCCCAGCGCCCTGCCGCCGCCCTACAGCGGCCCGTCGCCGCCCTATCCGCAGCAGCCCGCCGCCACCCTAGAGCGGCCCGTCGCCGCCCGTCTCTGCTGCGGCCTCGCCGCCCTCACTGCGGCCTCGCCGCCCTCACTGCGGTCTGGCCGCCTCCTGCTGCGGCCACGCCGCCCTTCTACTGCGGCCTCTGCCGCTGTCACCTACGGCCTTGCCGCCCTCTACTGCGGCCTCGCCGCCTCTCACCTGCTGGACAGCCGAGCCGCCGGACAGCCGAGCCGCCGAGCCACTCAGCAGCCCAGCCGCCGAGCAGCCGAGCCGCCGAGCCACTCAGCAGCCCAGCCGCCGAGCAGCCGAGCCGCCCAGCAGCCAAGCCGCCCAGCAGCCGAGCCGCCCAGCAGCCGAGCCGCCCCGCAGCCGAGCCGCCGAGCCGCCCTACTTCCGACCTGCCTGAGCTGCCCTGTCTGGTGAGCACAGCACCTCTTTCACTGCACTGCCCTCACCCTACTGCTTGCACTGCTAGTCTACTGTCGTCATGGCTACCCCTAGTGTCCTAGCTTTTGACGCTGAGGGTCGGGCCATTGACTTCGAGGTCTGGGTAGATGATATGCAGCTGTTCTTACAGTGCGATAGGGCAAACGGTCTCTCTCTCTCTTTGACCTCACCTTTGGCGCTTCCCCTGCCCCTGCTGCTGATGCTGACGCCACTGTTCGTTCCCAGTGGGCCACGCGCGACGCTGCTGCACGTCTTGCTGTGCGTCGCCACCTCCCTACCTCCGAGCGTGCACACTTTAGTCAGTACAAGAGTGCTCAGACCTTCTACGACGCTGTAGTTGCACGCTACTCCTCCCCTGCCACTGGTGCACTGAGCCGCCTCATGCTGCCGTACCTCTTCCCTGACCTTGCTGCCTTTCCCACAGTCGCTGATCTCATTACGCACCTCCGCACTAGTGACACTCGCTACCGCGCTGCGCTTCCTGCTGACTTCTGCGCCAAGAACCCCCCACCCCCCCCCATGTACATCACCCTCTACTTCATAGTCACCCGACTCCCTGACTCCCTTAGAGTGGTCAGGGACCACTTCCTAGCTGTGTGCCCCACCACCCTCACCATTGACCTCCTCGAGAAGTCCCTCCTAGCGGCGGAAAAGAGCATAGTCGCTGTAGGAGCTTCTCGTGGTGACCCCCGCACCCCTGTCTTTGAGGGGTGTTCTCCCTACCCCCTCTTGCCCTCTGTCGCTTCTGCTGCTGCTGGCGACCTCGTTGGTCTCGAGTCGGTCGGCGCTGCAACTGCCCCTTCGGGGAAGCGCCGCACAGGCAGGGGCAAGGGGGGCATGGGCACTGGAGGAGCTGGCGGGGGCGGTGGAGGTGGCGGTGGAGGCGGCAGAGGGAGCGGGGGTGGTGGAGGGAGCGGTGGAGGGGGTGGGGGTACCGGTGGCGGAAGTGGGGGCGGAGGCGGTGGCGGTGGAGGAGGGAGCGGAGGAGGTGGTGGTAGCGGAGGCGGCGGTGGTGGTGGAGGCGGCGGTGGTGGCGGAGGTGGCGGAGGCGGCGGAGGGGGTGGAGGTGGAGGTGGAGCTGGTCGCGGGTCTACGCAGAGGAGTGGCTCCGGTCGTGGTCCGCGCCAGCAGCAGCAGCGTGGTCGTGAGACCCTGTCCCCTCAGCAGCTCCGTGACTGGTACACTGCACGCCAGCTGGGTGGGGGCTTTGGTCCGTGCACCTACGTCCTGCGCACCGGTGACCGTGCGGGTGAGCAGTGTGGGGGTGCGCACCCCACCCAGCGCTGCTTTGGCCGCCTGACGGACGGGTGGCGTCACCAGTTCCCTGAGGCCACAGAGATCCCTCGCTGGGGCGAGCTGTCTAGGGCGTGAGTAGCCATCTATGATCTTGATTTTGATGCTATCTTGTCTGCCGTGTATTCTGTGACTATTCGTGATGAGGGTGACTGTTACCGGTGTTTCCCGCCCGATCCGGGCATTGAGACTGCTGCTCTAGGTACTGGTGCGGCTGCTGCCCTAGGTGCTTGCGACGCTGCTGCTCTAGGTGCTAGTGCGTCTTCGTCCTCAGGTACTGGTGAGTCTGCGCTCTCACGTACTACGTCGGCTTCGGCCTCCCTCACCTTCACCCTTGACTCTGGAGCTTCTCGCTCCTTCTTTCGGGACCGCACCACACTCACGCCGCTTAGTCGGCCGGTTGCTATGTCTCTGGCTGACCCCTCTGGGGGTTCTGTCCAGTCTCATTTCTCCACAGTCCCCCCGTGTCCGGCGGCTCCCTCTGGCACCTTGTTTGGTCTCTACCTTCCCTCGTTCTCTACGTACTTGGTGAGTGGTGCTGACCTACAGGATGGGGGAGTCCACCAGTTCACTCCTGCGAGTCAGCGAGTGATGCACTGTACAGAGGCTCGCACAGGCCGACACCTGGCTACGTTCACCCGTCAGCCGGGGTCGAGCCTGTACACACTGACCACTGCGTCTCCTCCAGTTGTTGCGTCTGGTAGGGTGTCTGCGTCAGGTCAGCTGTTTGCTGCACCGTCCAGGTCTGGTCCTGAGTCTGCCCCCTGTTCGTGTCGTCTCCTCTCTCACGAGACTCTCCTCTGGCACCACCGCCTTGGTCACCCCTCTCTGCTGCGGCTCAGAGGCATGGCCTCTCGTCTTCTTGTTTCTCGTCTCCCCAGGTCCCTCCCTCCCCTTCCTCAGGGGCCTGGCCCTTCCTGTGTCCCCTGTGTCGAGGGGCGCAAGAGGGCTGCCCCTAACTCCTCCCAGTTTCCTCCGACAGAGGCCCCGC